AAATAGCCATTCCAGTTCTCCCATTCTGTTTATAATACGCTAGTCGTTGAGCGTCTGCTGGCGCGACTCGAGAACGAACCCCAAAGCACAACGGGACGAGGGAGTTTCGTAACCAGTAGGGGAACGCCTATCTACTATTGTGTATACTCCCAACCGAAACCGACCGGAAACCGCGTGGCGCAATGTTAGAGCATTGGACTGCTGATCAACAGGTTGCGGATTCGAGCCTGGAGTGCCTTGGGTGCTGGCTGACTGCTGAAGGCCAATAAGCCAGAAATGGACGTTTCGGTCTCCCTTGTCGCTGTCGGTATGTTATTTCTGCCTATAGTACCAGAGAGAATACTGGAACCTTGGGAGACCTATTGATGAGCCCAGCGCCTCGCGCTTAGGTCAGCCAATGGCACAAAATGACAAAAAAATTGTATGGGCATTTAGCTAACAGCTGTGTTGCCAGTATCTTGAACCATCCAACAGTTGGAAACTGTTTATCATACAGAAGTTTTCTCCTGCCCAAAATTTTGACTGAAATACCCTTTAAAGCAAAAATACCGAGCACAACTTTACGAAGCTAAAATGGCCATATCCGCTGATATAAACTGTCTGCCCAAATCGCCAGCGTTGCCTTTCCTTTCTAAGCTTGCTGTAGATAGTATCTACTCTGCTCAGCTATAACCGTCCCTCACAGGAGGGCTGGGGGGACGAAGTTGGCTGACTGATGATGGCAGTTGCAGAGACGGTGCTTTATAGGGGGCGCACGTGTCGTCCAGAGGTGAAGAGCCCTTGTTATAATTACTGGGTCAGTCTTACGTTAGACCAAACCGGATATACTTTAATTGACCAAGTGCAACAAGTGTCCGTTCTAGCACCAACCACTTTGAATTCTCATCATTTGTCAAGGAGGTAGCTGAAAAAAAGTGTGTCAATAATACTGCAAAAATACTCTCCAACATTCCAACTAACTGACGAGGACGGGCTCAGCAAAAGTAGATCCTCCAGCACTCAACCTCAGGACACAGTGTAGATCATAATAGTATAATGAGTCATGATTTTCGTCTGGTGGATACTAGATTGATTGTTTAGAAAATCCTCCTCGGGGAAGTCAGCTTCTTGTATCAGAAATGGTGGATTTTATAGGTTGCAAGTAGGCTAGGCGGGTAACTGTACCCCAGTGTGACTAAACTGACGGCTCCTGGTGGGACTTCGTAACCCAGGTGATTAGAACTTTGACTGTACCAAAGTCTTCCTTTTGCTATCATGGGTTCGAATACTACCGGTGTCGCCGAGTTTTTCTCAGTTGGATCAAATGCATCATTTAAATTTGCCAAAAGTTGCCCCTACTAAGTAAGGTAAGTGTAAATACCATAGGCAACGGTAAACAGCCCGAAGGGGTGTAAAATGCCATTTGTAGCCGCGTAGGAAGATGGAGATTTTTAAAAGCTTCCCCCTTATGTGGTACGTTGTGGGACTACTGGCGACCTCACCAACCAGATTTTTGTTGCCGTTAGTGGGGACGTCGGGAGGCATCAGGAGGAGGATAGGTTAAGGACCTAGACTGTCTATGAACCGCATAATGAATGCTGATGGAATCACTGAGGAGCCAAAACCGTCGTAGTTGTCTCATACGGTAACAGAACCACTGGCAAGCGTTGTGTTTGCGTTTTTGGCCAATACATGTATTAGGTGTGTACATAATCCCCACGACCGTTAGGTTGGTACGTGATGTGGCCTGGCAGCTAATATTAGTTGCAGTAAAGTTTGAGCCCCATAGCATTTGGAACATGACCTTAAGACCCAGTTCAGACAACTTTATACTTAAAAACTGGAACGT